CCTCAAGGAGGTCCCCTAACACCCTTTCCTCCCATTGCTCCATGAGGGGAGGTAACCCATCCCGTTATTGCTAGCTCCTAGGTGTCTCATCAGCTCTTGTTGGTTCCCTTAATCTTGCTCAGACCATTGTTCACAATCTTTCCATTGAAACCATCTGGGTGACATTTGATTCCCACTAAGACTCTGATTGACACACAATCCATTTTGAGATATATCTAGAAAAGTTCTAAGAACTCCCACTGCAAACCATTTGTGGGGGTAATAGACATCCCTATGATGGTTTCTTCTTTGGGTTTAATATGGATCCTTCACCTCGCAGTTTGAGTCTCACTTCCTCTTGCTCCATCTCCAGTGGAGAGAAATAGTATGTCATTGCCATTCTTTAGGTAACGAAACTCCAAACATGGTAACTCCTCATGCACGGGGTTAGCGAGAAGACATCTCTCTTCCCTGTGGCCCAATTTGCTCCTTTTTAATCAGAACATTTTTTTTTTTTGGCATGTCACTGACACATTCTCCCAATAAACCGAGGAAATTCACAGTATCTATTTATCCCAGTAGACATGAGCCTCTCATCCCCCTTGTTGTGTCTGGCAGGTACTCGGATTAATTGCACACCCTCCAAAAAGGCTGGGCCCTCACATTTAGCCGAGTGCACTAATAAAAGGATTATTATTTAACAGCTCGACCTCCATCAACTCCCCTTTATCCTGCCTCCCTGAATTGGTGAACAAAATTAATGAGGGTGCTGTGGCCATGCCTAACAGTTTCTGTTCGCCACCCTTTCAGCAAATCCTTTGCTTTTCTGCACTTCCCCCTCAATCCCTACGTCATTTTTATTCTCCAAGTTGATGCAAAGATGGATTGTGACAATAGTTTGTGGGTGGCTGTCAGAATTGATGGTGGTTTGTGTGGGAAAATGCATAGCGAGTTTGAGAGCTGTAGTTAGGATTCCAGATAGAGTCAATTAAAAAAAAAAAGTTCTACTCACAGGGAAAGGTCAAGCTGAATGTTTTAATTATGATGCTGTTATAATGTATCTCATGCTTGGATAAACTGGCTTTGGAGAGTTGCAAAACTGTGCAATATACCCTGCTCTAAAAAGGGCATACAAATAATGTGATATTTTGAGGGATGACTTAGAACCTTGCAGAGAAGATAATGAGGTGAAGTGGAAAGAATGAAGTGCTGCATGACCTGGGTTTCATTCTGGACAACACCATTCACCTTTTTGTTCCTAGCATCCTTACCTGCAAAATAATACACAATTCAAGGCTTTTCAAACAATGCTCTGCTATTAATAATCACTCTATGAGGTACCCATTGGAGTTATAATTAGCTCCATTTTATGGGGAGGAAATTGAGACTCAGAGAGATGGGGAACATTATCCAAAGTCACACAGCCTGCTAAGTCACAGCCTGCGATGACTGACTCCAAATCTTGGGTTCCTGACCATGAGAGTTTCTACATCTCTTTCAGACAACTGGAAAAAAAAATAAATTTTGCACATTTTCTAGATGAGAACAGTCTTTCAGAGATCTTCAAGGACTTGTTCAAGGCCATACATGTAGGCAGTGGTGGAGCTGGGACATAAACCATGACTATCTGATGCCAAAGTCCAGGCTCTTAGCCATTATGCTAGATTAGCACTTATGATTACAGCCTTCACCACCTTGAAAACAAACAGAGGATGTGATCAGAAGAGAATTCAGATTTATGCCCAATAAACTGCCTCATTTAGGGTTATAGAACACAGAGTTCAGTGGTCTTAGATGCTGAAATATATCTGGCTAACCAGGAGGCACTTGGAAGTCTGGTCTTTACTCTGGCAGCCAGCATAATGTATTAGTAAGATGCCCACATAAAAGTTTTAATCCATTTCCTGAAAATTGGAGGACATTATGCTTCGTGAAATGAGCCAGGCACAGAAAGACAAATACTGTATGAACTGACTTATATGTGTAATCTAAACAAGTTGATCTGATAGGAGCAGAGAGTGGAATGATGGTTAGCAGAGGCTCGGAGTAGGTGAGAAGGTGGGAATGGGGAGATGGTGGTCAAAGTGTACAAAATCTCAGAGAGGAGGAATAAGTTTTGATATGTATTGCACAGCAGGGTGACTATAGTCAATGTGATGTATGCTTCAAAATGACAGAGTAAATTTCAAATGTCTTATCACAAAAATAAAGTGAAGTGATAGATTTGTTAATTAGCTTGATTTAATTATTCCACATTGTATACATATATCAAAATGTCACATTGTATCTCATAAATGTATACAATTATGATTTGTCAAGTAAAAATAATATTAAAAACCAGCGTTCCGCAATTGCTCGAACATATACGCAAATACCAAACACCAAGTATGTACCATCTTAGAATTTATTATAATACAAACATAATATATTATCTAATTAAGAAAATATGGACATTTATTATTTTTCTATGATAACCTTCCATTCCATGCTTTGATCTGGAATAGCCAACATTAGAGTCTTTTATTCGCTTCGAGTAAGCTCCCCACATTGGACCAGGAAGCATCAACTGTGCAAAGTGATCTTTTCCAAGTGTAGGGTGTTTGCAAAATGGAAGTTCATGCCCTCTCCCAGTCTGTCTTTTATGGTTTGTCTGTCATCCCCCTCATTTCCTTCCCCATGAGACATTGTAGGCTTCAAATTGTTCCATAAAAAGACACAGCAGGATGGTGTGTAGCATCACGGCCGTGCCCGGCCAACGACACAAATCATACAGCAAGGGAGATGCTAGTTAACAGTCTTTGAAAGAGGCACTACACAAACCCTGTAAGGGCAATGGTTTGAGTGCCGTCAGCAGCAGCTGTTTACGTGACAGGCTTCAAAATGCAAGGCTTTATTTCCAAAACTGGCCTGAAAGAAAAGGCTTAAAAGTTTTTACAGTATGAAATTTAAAAAAAAAAAAAGACAAAACTTCTCATTACTGTCCATTAATTATTACTATAAATAATAAAAGTCCTTAGATGATCTGGAATAAATGGTAGGAGATATGCATCAACCTAACACAACAGACATTCGTATGGATTTTAGGCAGAAGACGGTGACTCGCCGATGTGCCTTCAAGAATAGGACCTCTCTTAAATACTTAGCAAAATATACAACACAGAAGGAAAAGAGATCATAATACTACCGGTAGAGCCTCTATTGTTAACAGAAGTAATTAATGAGCGTCTGAGGAAAACGTTCCCAATGCATACCCGGTTTTTAAACATCAACAGTTAATTTTGACATACCATTAAAAAATGTGGAGCAGGGAGCATTGAGATTCACATACATTATTTCCCGTCCTATCTATACATTCTGGAAAAAGGAATTGCTTCACCTTTATAAATATTGCACTTTGACTCACAAAGAGCTCAAACTAGCATTTTTTTTTCTTTCAGAGCTACAGGTTTTAAAAATAAATAAATAATTAAATAAATATATCTCTATATATTCAGTATAGGTAGCCTTTGGTCAAGGTTCATTGATAAGGGGGCGGTGTGGTGGAATTGCGTCGCACACACGTTTGATGAACACGTATTCAACGACGCGTGCTTGGCAAAAAAGAGACAGAGAGAAATGCGACTTAAGGGCGGTGGGGGGATCTGCTTCCCATCCCACTCAGTGGGTGCACACCCCGGGGAGCATGGGAGATGGGAGATGGGAACTTGCTTGTCCCCTAGTCGGACAACTGCCATGAATCTCTTTTACTGGGAGCATCTTGCTGCACCAGGGTGATCCTAATGTTCTCAGATACATCAGAATCGTGCAATATGGTCCCTAAATGCAAGCCAACCCTCTCTTGTCATCAACCGGAGAAACAGCAACCTGTTCCAATGCTAGAGAAAAACTTCGCTGCATTAGGTTTTTAAAGGGATAGACTATGATCTCCAACGTGGTTCTTTTCTGAAGACTTGGCAAAGGTCGACTTTGGCTCTGTCAGGTTTTTGTCCTTTGCACCAACTTTAAAATCTAACCCTTGGGTCTGATGACAGTCTACTGCAATTATTTCAAAAGAATAGGAATTAGGACCATCAGGACTAATAGGACCTAAAATTATATTGAGTTAGTATTGAGGGTATTGACTGAAGTTTAGGGATGGCATTGCCCTGGGGCCTTTTCAACCTCATTCATCTATTACAAATTCCCATGAAAAAGGATAGACATGCCTTCCAATTTAGGGACAAACGCAGTAAAAATCCAGCCTGAGGAACTAAGTATTCCAGGTGGACTGTCTGCTATTTGTGTGGTCACCAAAAATATCATATAGTTCCAAACTCATTTTGGCAGACTTTTTTTTTCCCCCCCAAAACAAAGATGACTCCAAATACTGAGAGTCTGGGAGAGAAGTAAAGAAAAAATAAATAAAGCTAAATAAGAGGAACTCCAGCATGGATTTCTCTTTTACAACATATCACTCAACACATGGGGGGTGAGCGTGCACACATGCACTGTGATCTCCAGGGAAGCCCCTCGTCACTACATCCTGGAACTATTCTTGCCTTGGACAGGCAAGGGGAGAATCGATAAACACACTTATATTTTACCATTTTGCAAAGGTTCCAGGTTAAACAGCTTTGCCAAGAACTGGCACCACCCTTTTGAGCCATGTGCGTCAAAGGGCAGACAAGCCGTCACCACGGACGCCGTTTGTGACTGCGGTTGTGACCGCATGGCAATGCCAGCTGGGCCGTGGGGCAGAGCTCAGAGTGCCTCCTTTTATACCCGAGGAGCTGCAGTCCCTGACCCTTGAGTATTAAATTCAGTTCGGAAGTCATTTCAAATAAAACAATTTGGTGAGGGCTTCAGCAAGCAAGGAGGCAGGGTTGGCAGCTCCACACAGAAAAGCTTCTCTTGGAAGCCTGAGTGGTACCCAAACTAGAAGCAATTTTGAGTAAAGGGATTGTATATAGCTGACACGGGGATGGATTGGAACAAAGGCAAGATTGGGCTTATTTTTGTTTTTGTTTTTCTGGGCTCAAGAATTCTTCCTTTGCCCCCACGGACCAGGCAGGGTCTGCGTTTGGGAGGAAACAGTTAGAATCTATACACAATGGTAAATAGAAAACTGCATCTTAGACTCCAGGTCTGAGGTCACAGGTGTGTTGGTTTGGAGCCATCCTGAAGCAGCTCTGGCCAGAGTTCGGACGGGATTCAATACTCCTCTCTTCCCACAGTGCCATTCTACAGCTAGAGGTGCCAGGGCCACTTGGAGACCACAACCTTCTCTAGGACAAAGGGCGCCTTGGAGAAGCCCCGAATCAGTCAGCATCGTTAGCTGCTGGGAACAGCACAAGGAAGCGGCGAGCGACCTTAGCTCGTGGAAGAAGAGCGAGGGTCCAGCTACGTGCTACAGTGGCTTGGTGTGTCACACAAATGAAGAGTTCCCGGTGGCTGTGGATGGTGCCAGGGCGAAGTCACAGACTATTTCTCTACTGTGTGTCCTTACTGGTCACAGGATGATGCTACGACCTCCAACGGCATCTTCAAACTGGTAGGAACTTTTGTTGTCAATATGACTTGGTTAAAAAAAAAAACAAAAACAACAACAATGCACAGGTGAAAACAAGATTCATGCGTTCCTTTCTTCTCCTCCTTCCTTCCCCATCTACCAGCCTGAGAGTTGCCAGTCCGTGGAGACAGCAAGTCAGGGTCTCGCTCCTGAGGACAGCTGTTCAGCCCTGGGAGGCGGGACGCCCTCCCACCTGGAAACGGATTTGACAGCAGCACTAGGTGCCCCACCTGCGGGGTCACGGGGATACTTTTATAGGCTTTCCATTTTTGTCGTACTGGTACACCAGCATCTTGATACAGTGCGAGTTCGCCGGCGAGATCCAGGGGCTGCTGGTTATGGAAAAGTTGTGGTTGGTGTAGAACTGCGCGGGCTGCTTCTGGCACTTGAAGAAGGCCTTGAGCGTGGCGGCCGCCATGGTGCGGAACCGCTTGCTGATGAAGCAGTAGAGGAAGAAGTTGATGGCCGTGTTCAGAAGGGCCAGCATGTTGGCGACGTCCGACAGGATGTGCGCCAGCCAGCGGTTCTGGACGGGCGCCCCGTAGAGGTGGTAGAGGATCATGACGATGCGGGGTGCCCAGAGCGTGGCAAAGATGGAGGTGATGGCGAACAGGATGGCCGTGGTCTTCCCCGTGGAGTAGCCACGGAGGCGGAAGTTGCTCTTCCTCCTGAGCTTGTACACGATGATCGAGTTCAAGATGAAGAAGATGGAGCAGGGCACCAGGTACACAGTGAAGCAGTGGACCCAGATGAGGACGTGGTGCACGGACGTGCTGACGTAGTCTTCGGTCCAGATGTTGGGCCACCAGTAGTAGGGGATGCTGGTCAGGAAGCAGGTGACGTACACGCCTACGATGACTTTCCTGGTGCGGGCTGGGTAGGACACCATGTGGTACTTGAGCGGGTGGCAGACGGCGATGTACCTGTCAATGGTCAAGGGGACCGTGATCCAAATGGAGGTGTGGATGGATGAGAATTCCAGCACCTCTATGATCTTGTCGGGCACCGGGGGCATCTGCGTGTTCAGGATGAAGTCTTCCAGCAGGAAGTCCACAAACACGATGAAGAAGAGGACCAAGATATCGGCAGCTGCGAGTGCCAAGAGATAGTTGTAGGAGGACTTCTGCCTTCTGGCCACCAGCTGAGAGAGGATGATCACTGTCAAGATATTTGCTGTGGAGAGAAGAGAATCTGGTTTACCATTCAAGCCAAGGTGACTGCTTTGGTTACCGTGGGAGGCCCTGGGCATATGGTTACTGGGCACCCCCATGGAATTCAGCAGGATTGAACCGCTGCTTTTGAGGGACAGCCTCTGCATGACAAATAGCATCTCATACAAACATCTGGGGACTACTTTAAAGTTATGCTTATTATGGTCTAGTTTATTTGTTTCTCGCACAACCATGAGAGTTTTCCTCACATTGGAAATGAAACTGGGGCTCTGAGAGCTCAAGGAACTAGCTTAGAGCCTCACAGTTAGCAATGCATGGTGACAGGAACCACACCTTGATCCCAAATCTCGTGGGATTTTATTTTGTCCAACTGCCTGGAGAATATGGGGCTGACTGGTTTTTCCCACTCTGTGTGTTCAGCTAGGAACCTGGACTATATAACTTCTTAAACACCTTTTGAAAACTTGGATTTTAGGACCTTTCCTTTTTTTTTTTTTTTTTTTTTTTTTTTTGAGACAGAGTCTCACTTTGTTGCCCAGGCTAGAGTGAGTGCCGTGGCGTCAGCCTAGCTCACAGCAACCTCAAACTCCTGGGCTCGAGTGATCCTTCTGCCTCAGCCTCCCGAGTAGCTGGGACTACAGGCATGTGCCACTATGCCCGGCTAATTTTTTTATATATATATATCAGTTGGCCAATTAATTTCTTTCTGTTTATAGTAGAGACAGGGTCTCGCTCTTGCTCAGGCTGGTTTTGAACTCCAGACCTTGAGCAATCCGCCCGCCTCGGCCTCCCAAGAGCTAGGATTACAGGCGTGAGCCACAGCGCCCGGCCAGGACCTTTCCTTTTTAAGTGGACTTAGAATCTAAAGAGTGGAGAAGATTATGGCCTTCAGATTAATTTAGAAATAGGCGGGCCCTGTAATTGTAGCACTTTGGGAGGCTGAGGCAGGAGGACTGCTTGAGGTCAGGAGTTCGGGACCAACTTGAGCAACATAGTGAGAAACCCCATGTCTACAAAAGAAAGAGCAAAATTAGCTGGGCATGGTGGTAGGCACCTGTAGTCCCAGCTACTCAGGAGGCTGAGGCAGGAGAATTGCTTAAGTCCAGGAGTTTGAGGTTGCAGGAAGCTGTGATGATGCTACTGCACTGTGGCCTGGGTGACAGAGCCAGACTCTGTCTCAAAAAAAAAATTATATTTATTTTTGGAATAGGTAATCTGCACACATGGTGCATGATTAAAAATAATAGCAGGGAAAAGTTCACTTCCCTTCCACTGTTGTTCTCCAACCATCCAAGTTCTCCTCCCTCAGGGAAATCACAGTTAATAAATAATTTATCCTTATATAAGTCTATATAATAGGCATGTATATCATTTCTGCACAAACAGCAGTGACGTATTATTTTTCTTGGGGTCAGATTTCATTTGAAAATGTATCCACATAATTTTCTGATAAGTTTTCAAAACAATTGTCTCTCTGAATCAGGCATATTTAGAAAGTCATTAGCGACTCACTCCGAAATGATATCCCGATGGATAATATCTGGAAGTCATTCTACACATTTACTCTCATTCATTCTCACAATCAACCCTGCAATTTGAACACTGCTCATGCTATTTTGCAAACAAGAGTCTCGGAGAGCTTATGTCCCTTGTCTGAGGTCCAGTGGCAGAGCTAGAACACAGACAGCTCTCTCTCTCTCCCCCTCTCCCCCTCTGTTCCCTCTCTCCTCCCCCTTACCCCTCTCTTTCCTTCTCATTCTCCCTCCCCCTTTCTGGGTAGCTATTTAAAATATTATGCAATAGTTCACATGGAAAAATGTCTTATGATAAACACACCCACACATCCTGGTGTACTCATCACCCAGATTAAACAAATTTTAACATTTTGCCATATTTGCTTCAGCTCTTTTTTAAAAAAGAAATGACATTATAGATATAGTTGAAGTCCCCTCTGAAATAATTCATTTCCCATTATTTTCCCTCTTCCGTTTTCTCCCTAGAGGCGACGGCCATGCTGTAGGTGGTGTGCAGTGCTCAGGGCCATGCCTGCATACTCTTCCTTCCTTCCTTTCTTTCTTTTTTTTTTTCTTTTTTGAGACAAGTTCTCTCTATGTTGCTCAAGCTGGAGTTCAGTGGCTATCCATAGGTGTGATAATGGTGCATGGCAGCCTCTAACTCCTGGGCTCAAGCAAGCCTCCTGCCTCAGCCTCCCAGGTAGCTGGGACTACAGGTTCATGCCACTGAGTCCAGACTCTTGTTTTCTTTGATATTGAAACTGTCAGCATTCTATATGCTGCTTTTGTCAATCAACTTCATGTTTCTGAGACCCACTTTTGTTTCTACATGTAGATCTAATTCACTCATTTTAGTGACTATGTAGCATTCCATTGTGCCACCTTATTGCCATTAATGTATTCATTATTATGTATGTAAATTATATATAATTTATTATTTTAAAGATGTACATACATTTAAATTGGTTTCAGGGTTTTGTTGTTGTGAACCACTATAGTTAATATCTTTTTTTTTTTTTTTTTGAGACAGAGTCTCGCTTTGTTGTCCAGGCTAGAGTGAGTGCCGTGGAGTCAGCCTAGCTCACAGCAACCTCAAACTCCTGGGCTCGAGCGATCCTTCTGCCTCAGCCTCCCGAGTAGCTGGGACTACAGGCATGCGCCACCATGCCCGGCTAATTTTTTATATATATATCAGTTGGCCAATTAATTTCTTTCTATTTATAGTAGAGACGGGGTCTCGCTCTTGCCCAGGCTGGTTTTGAACTCCTGACCTTGAGCAATCCGCCCGCCTCGGCCTCCCAGAGAGCTAGGATTACAGGCGTGAGCCACCGCGCCCGGCTATAGTTAATATCTTGATATGACTCTCCATAAGAAGTACTTATACATGAGAGTTTCTCTGGGGTAGTACATACAAAGAAGTGTATTTATTATGTTTCAGAGTGCATGCATCTTCATCTTTAGCAGATATTGCTGAATTGCTCTGTAAAGTGATGTTACTAATTTATACTCCCAACAGCAGAATATTAGAATTCCATTTATCCCATATCCTCTCAGTACTTGGTATTGTTAGTTTGTTGTTGTTGTTTTAAAAGTCTGTGCTGTTCTTGCTCTTGTCCAAAGCCCTTTGAAATAGCATTTTTGAAATGGTGGACAGTTAAGGTATTGATTATATTAAGTGGCCAGGATTCAAACCTAGGAGCAACATCCATGCTTCAAACCAGTCTGTAATATTGGTACCTACTCCAAGTGGGGTAGGGGCACCACGTGGGTATGTTACACTGTATGCAGTGTAAAGTGGTATTTCCTACTTTAAGTTGCTACTTAAGAAAAGAGACCCATTAAAGCAAAAGCTCTTTATATTTGCAAACCCGATATTTCAAATGTTTATTCATGCATTCAACAATGTTTTTGTGTACCTATTCTGAGCTTTGCCCTGGGAGAGGATGGTGAACAAAACAGACATGGTCTATGCAGTCTGCATGGAGCTTAGATTCTATTAGGCAAGAAAAACATCACCTGAAGGACTACAGAAGCAAATGCATAACTGCAAGCTATAGTAAGGGTTATGAAGGAATATTTGGGGGTAGGCATCAGAAAAAGCTTTCCTGAGATTTGGAGGACCAAATGGAGGTAAATAGGCAGAGAGGTTGGAAGAAGAAAGTGCTTTTCAAGCAAAGGAACCAGCATGTGCAAAGGGCCTGAGGTGGGGGAAGTATGAAGAGTGGGGTTTATTAAGACAAAGAACACATATTGATTTCTGCTTGCTTCATAAGCATTTTTTGCATTTTATGGCTCTCTTTTATTAAACATCCTTGCCGTGTTCTGTTGAAAGCATTTCAAAATGTTTTATTCATCCAGAAATCCTTTTGAAAAGTATTTAGCATCTACATTCTGTGGGCAAAGACCTGTGCATGGGCCCAAGGTGGATACAAATTGGTGTTGCATTCAGACTCTCTACTCAAAGAGAGTGTAGAAACATCGTATACGTGGCCAAGTATTAATGACATAAATGAGAACACACACAGTGATACAACAGCTGCTGGAGAAAAGATATCAAACAAAGGGCAAAGGCTTTGGAGCAGGATCTAGGTCAAAGTCTTGGCTGCCAACCCCTGCTCCTTGGACCTAACATATCGTTGGAGCGTCATGGAACTCGAGCCGCAAAGTCAGGTCTGAAGCTCTCCCGCTGAGCTAAGGGCACGAGAGCCCCGTGGCTGGGAGTGTGGGAGCTGGGGCTGGGCTGCCCGGGGTTCAGTCTTGGTTCTACCACTATCGACACTTAGACTTGGGGCAAGTTTCTTCAACTTCTCTGTGCCTCAGTTTCCTTTTTATAAAATCAAATTAATAAGACTACCTGCCTCTTAGGGTTGTTCTGAGAATTAAGTGCATTCATTTTTCATAAAGCGGTTAGAACAGTGCCTGGGATGGGATAAGTGCTCGATGAATGTTAGCTGTTGACGGAGAGTCCATTCATTTGACAAATATTAACTGGGCATTTACTAATCCAGAAACTGTATGAGGCACTGGAGACACAGACATTAGCTAAGTATGCAAGGTCCATTTTTGCCATGGGGTTTATGGTATAGTGCAGAGGACAGACAATAGATAAACACACAAAAATGCACAGGAGAATTTCAGATGTGATGCTATGAAGAATGAAACCATGGGATGAGACAAATGTATCGGGGAGTTATTTTTAGATTGAAAAGTGACATTTGGGTTCAACCGAGGATAAAGGGATGGGATCTGCCATGAAAAGATCTGTGGGAAAATGATTCGAAGTGGTGGGGATGGCAAGTGCAAAGGCCCTGGGGTGGGAATGAGCTTGGTATGTTCACGGAACAGAAAGACGTGGGAACAGTTTCCCGTTTTACAGATGAGGAAACTGAGGCTTGGATTTTTAGATCATTTGCTCAAAGTCACAAACTGAGCTAGTGAAGGAGCAGGAAGGTGACCCCATCTCTGTCTGACTTTATGGTATATCAGA